AAACATGCAAATTATTTCAGCTTTCTTGATGGGCTCTAACAAGATTTTACTTTTTAAAAGCTACTTCACATATATATACACACCTCTCCTAGGTATTTTTACAATGACTTCGTAATTATTCAGCTGCAGCTTCCATTCTCAGCTCCATCAGAGGAGGATTTAAGAGGGACTGTAATGATGATCTGTAGGAATGAGACTGGACTGCTAAGTCACTTTTCAAGAGCTGCCACTGAATTCTGGAAATTAGTTGAGAACAGATCCCTGAATTGCCTCTAGCCCCATTGAAATACACACAGTGAGACAGAACAGCTTGTCCATTTTACTGCATCAGCTAAATTGTGCACTTAACATATTAACTGCAGAAAAACCCCAAACAAATTTGACTTACAAATGGCTACAGGCCACTTACAAACAGAAAAAAATACAGTTAATTATATTACTCTATAATTCTATGTTAATACTGTTCATCTGTTATCAGAGATGTTTATTTGGTCATAAATGATCTAATTTTGCTTTTCCAGGAACCATTCTAACAAATTGCTTTGGTAGAGATCCATTCCTCTTCAGTCAACAGTCAAGTTAGCAGGAACATTTTGCACTGAATTTATGATGTACTTCTTGTGCTTTCTTAACATTATTTTTGCAAGTTATTTTAAAACACATTTTTGCCTTGCACAACTTTAATATCAGATAAAACAGTCCTATTTCATCCCATTTTAACCAAACCACAAATTCATGAAAATTTTCATTCAACCTTTGTGCTCTTAGATGATATTCCAGTAGTTTCAGGCAGAATTGCCATTCAGATAATTTTTTTTTAAATCATAACCCAAAACCCCCTTTTGCACTTATTGTGATGTTAATATGATCAGCATACAATTAGGGATACATAAAAAAAATTTGACACTTTCTCATATCCTACCAGCCAAATGTAGGCCAGAAGCAATGAATGGAGGGAAAAAAAAAAAAGATTAAACTGTAATAATCTGAAGTTTATTATTATTTCACTTCACAGGCAGCCAGTCTTCCAAGCTTACCATTTACCAGCCTGGCTGTACCTGAATGAATTGCCTGAACAACTGGTTGAATTTCAGCCACCAGCAAACATGAAGAAACATGAAGGTTTCATTCTAAAGGTTGTTAGAGATGGTGTTCCTGTGGTGCTGAGCTGAACCTACACAAGATGAGCATCCTCATGGTCAGCACATTTATGGAGCTCAGTGGAAAATGCATCCCTGGCATTAATTCTCTCCCTCCTTCTGACAAGCTGTAAAACTCATCAGAACATAACCACCAAAACAAAAAAAAAAAAAAAAAACACCACACCAAAACCCAAACAAATAAAAACAAAAAAAACTCAAAAAACAAAGCAAAGCAGCTTTTCACATAAAAATTGAAATTGTGTTCTCTCAGTATGAGGGTTTTTTAATTTACTGCTTGTATAGACTTTCTAAAAAATAAAACAATGCCCCTCTACCAAGTTTTGGGTTCGCTAAAACTGATTTCCCCTCTTCAAATATAGAAACTGAACTAAGAATTCACTTTTACTCAGTAAACTCACCCTGAGAAATATTTACAATGATTCTGCTTTTTTTTTAAATTGAATTTATTAAAGTCTAGTGCAACTGCAGCAAGTGATCCACAGAGAAGCCATTATGGAAGATGTAAGGGCAGTAACTGTTCAAGAAGGAAGGGGAGTGAGTTTCAGGTTCAGTCCCCTCTTCTGAACAATACTTGAGCAAATCTAGAGGGTACCTGGTGTCTAAACCCCTAATTGTGAACTGGGATTGATGATTTTGTAACTCAAAACAGAAATCCATCACTTACAGCTGTTCAGATGGTGCAACAAAAATAGAACACAAGACAGAAGTCTTCTAAAGTCCTCAAACCAGGGCTGGCAGCTGCCAGCAAACACTTGACTGTTTTCTCATTTTCATCATATCCACATCTGGTGACTAAAACTAAATTACCCGTTCTGTTCAGCTCCCCAGTAAGTTTGGGATTTCTACCTTAGAAGAATTCAATGCCAACTGTAATATCCTCAGAACTGTAGGGTTTCTAAAGTTCTGAAGCTGTCCCTCTGCAGACATCATTCTTGTCCTGCTGTACCTGCTCTAGGATACCACCATGGGAGTGACTGAGCACCAAGCACAACTCTCAACGTGTCTGACCTGTTATAAAGCTGCTTTTCAACTTCCATGTTACTTTTAATAAAAGTATTTAAACTATTGATTCTCTTGGCCACAATCCAATTTTATTTAAACAGAGAGAGTGAGAGCATGAGAGAGCCAAACAGTTCTATTTGTTGACCACACAAATAAAGGTTTGCATCTGTTATGCTGGGAAAAAAAGGCTAGGCTGTGATGGACCCCCCTCACTCACTGGTCATACTTCACTTGTCATTACACACAGCACTTTTAAAAAATTTTAAATTCATACAATTGCAGCAGGCAAGAAGAAAAATGAAAAACAAAATAAAAACCGTAAAAGTTCCATAAAGGGTAGCGCCGTAAAGCGCGACTGTCGCAAAAGGTGCCGTAAAGCGCGACTGTCGCAAAAGGTGCCGTAAAGCGCGACTGTCGTAAAAGGTGCCGTAAAGCGCGACTGTCGCAAAACTGCAGTAAAGCAAAACTGTCGTAAAAGGTGCCGTAAAGCGCGACTGTCGCAAAAGGTGCCGTAAAGCGCGACTGTCGCAAAAGGTGCCGTAAAGCGCGACTGTCGTAAAACAGCCGTAAAGCAAAACTGTCGTAAAAGGTGCCGTAAAGCGCGACTGTCGTAAAAGGTGCCGTAAAGCGCGACTGTCGCAAAACGGCCGTAAAGCGCGACTGTCGTAAAAGGTGCCGTAAAGCGCGACTGTCGCAAAACGGCCGTAAAGCGCGACTGTCGTAAAAGGTACCGTAAAGCGCGACTGTCGTAAAAGGTGTCGTAAAGCGCGACTGTCGTAAAACGGCCGTAAAGCAAAACTGTCGTAAAAGGTGCCGTAAAGCGCGACTGTCGCAAAACGGCCGTAAAGCGCGACTGTCGTAAAAGGTGCCGTAAAGCGCGACTGTCGTAAAAGGTGCCGTAAAGCGCGACTGTCGCAAAACGGCCGTAAAGCAAAACTGTCGTAAAAGGTGCCGTCAAGCGCGACTGTCGCAAAACGGCCGTAAAGCGCGACTGTCGTAAAAGGTGCCGTAAAGCGCGACTGTCGCAAAACTGCCGTAAAGCGCGACTGTCGTAAAAGGTGCCGTAAAGCGCGACTGTCGCAAAACGGCCATAAAGCGCGACTGTCGTAAAAGGTGCCGTAAAGCGCGACTGTCGCAAAACGGCCGTAAAGCGCGACTGTCGTAAAAGGTGCCGTAAAGCGCGACTGTCGTAAAAGGTGTCGTAAAGCGCGACTGTCGCAAAACGGCCGTAAAGCAAAACTGTCGTAAAAGGTGCCGTAAAGCGCGACTGTCGCAAAACGGCCGTAAAGCAAAACTGTCGTAAAAGGTGCCGTAAAGCGCGACTGTCGTAAAAGGTGCCGTAAAGCGCGACTGTCGTAAAAGGTGCCGTAAAGCGCGACTGTCGTAAAGGTGCCGTAAAGCGCAACTGTCGCAAAACGGCCGTAAAGCAAAACTGTCGTAAAAGGTGCCGTAAAGCGCGACTGTCTCAAAACTGCCGTAAAGCGCGACTGTCGTAAAAGGTGTCGTAAAGCGCGACTGTCGCAAAAACTGCCGTAAAGCGCGACTGTCGTAAAAGGGCCGTAAAGCGCGACTGTCGCGCTTTACGACACTACCTTATATGGAACTTTAACGGCACTTTATAGCACTTTGCGGATTTTATTTTGTTTTTCATTATTTTTTAATTAATTTTATTTTTTAATTTTATTTTAATTAATTTTTATTTTTAATTTTTCTATTTTTCAAGCTTTTTTTATTGTTTTTATTTTATTTTTTATTTAATTTTTGGTTTTAATTTTTCTATTTTTCAAGTTTTTTTTTATTTTATTTTTTATTTAATTTTTAGTTTTAATTTTTCTATTTTTAAAGCATTTATTTTATTTTTTTAATTTTCCTTTTTATTTAATTTTTAGTTTTGATTTTTCTCTTTTTAAAGCATTTATTTTATTTTTTTAATGTAATTTTTTTAATTTTTATTTTTAATTTTTCTATTTTTAAAGCTTTTTATTTTTTAAATTTTTTATCTTTAATTTTTATTTTTAATTTTTCTATTTATTTTATTTTTTAATTTTATTTTTTATTTAATTTTTAGTTTTAATTTTTCTATTTTTAAAGCATTTATTTTATTTTTTTAATTTTACTTTTTATTTAATTTTTAGTTTTGATTTTTCTCTTTTTAAAGCATTTATTTTATTTTTTAATGTAATTTTTTTAATATTTATTTTTAATTTTTCTATTTTTTAAGCTTTTTATTTTTTAAATTTCTTTATCTTTAATTTTTATTTTTAATTTTTCTATTTATTTTGTTTTTTAATTTTAATTTTTATTTAATTTTTAGTTTTGATTTTTCTCTTTTTAAAGCATTTATTTTATTTTTTTAATGTAATTTTTTTAATTTTTATTTTTATTTTTCTATTTTTAAAGATTTTTATTTTTTTAATTTCTTTATCTTTAATTTTTATTTTTAATTTTTCTATTTATTTTATTTTTTAATTTTAATTTTCATTTAATTTTTAGTTTTGATTTTTCTCTTTTTAAAGCATTTATTTTATTTTTTATTTAATTTTTATTTAATTTATATTTTTAATTTTTCTATTTTTAAAGCTTTTTATTTTTTAATTTTATTTTTATCTTTAATTGTTAGTTTTAATTTTTTTATTTTTAAAGCATTTATTTTATTTTTTTAATTTTATTTTTATTAAATTCTTAGTTTTGATTTTTTTATTTTTAAGGCATTTATTTTATTTTTTATTTTTTATTTAATTTTTAGTTTTGATTTTTCTCTTTTTAAAGCTTTTTTTGTTATTTTTTAATTTCATTTTTATTTAATTTTTAGTTTTAATTTTTCTATTTTTAAAGCATTTCTTTTATTTTTTTAATTTTATTTTTATTTAATTTTTAGTTTTGATTTTTCTCTTTTTAAAGCACACAGCTTTTGGAGCCATTTAAAGGCTATTTAAGAGATGGTGAAGAGCTCCACAGAAGCAATTGGAATGTTTTTCACAAGTACTTTCTGGGTTTTATTTTATCCATTATATTCAGCAGTAAGTAATCAGCTGGCAGCTTTAGTAAGACTGCTCACAGGGGTAAGGATGCTACTTTTGTGACTTGAAGAGTCTGTTGAAGCAAATCTCTTGAATGTAGAGAGGAGAAAATAATCCACAGGAATACCTCAGTGCGGTATGACGCAGCTAAATAATCCAGAATGCAGAATCATTAAATTAATGCCATCTAATGTACTCTCTTAAATATTACTTTAAAAATAAATATTGTGATCAAAAAATCAAAATTCTGAGAGAAGTTTCACACATCTATATTCTGTCTAGTTTACAGTAGCCATCAGATGTACAGTGTTGGGACACATTTAGAACAGTCACTGCAGCTAAAGACAAAAGAGAGTAGAGCAGGAAGCTTCCAACTGTGAACCAGATGGTTCCCTAAGTAGGGAAGCCTCCTCCTCAAATTTTCCTCCAAGTCATTCTGTCCATTTAGAATGAGGTTTTCCTGTCAGAATAACAGAGTTTGGAAACATGCATTGTGAGATAAGTAGAAAACTCCTAGAGATACAAAAATGCCCTTTGTCTCCAGGGAATTCCCTTCCCACATGGTATAGCAGCCTCAGTCTGTTAATGGTCCTATTGAAACTTTTTTCAGATTATGTAATTTCCAACTCTCCCTTTTCAGCTTTGGGGCTGTGGGTTTAAATTTTTAACTGCAATATGACATTACTCCCCACATGGGAGTGCAAATCCTTTGCATTTGATATTAAGGAGAGTTCAACAAACTTTTTCAAGGCAGTCTTGCCCCAAACATGCCCTGATTGTCAGTACAAGGAGCATCCACTGAGACTTTTGCAAAAGGCCTCCAAATTTTTAATTGCTTGGCTTCCTTATGCTACATGCAATGTAACAGACAAAGCAGTCCCACTGTCTCATGAAAAATCTTTTATGTGCCAGCAGAGAGTACTTTAAGTATTAATAACTCCAAACATTCAGAGAATAAGAGTAGCTGCTACCAAATAAAAAAGTGATTCACAAAGAATCACAGAATTTTTTTTTAAATTCCAGATTATTGCATTTAAAAAAAATAATGTTTAAGCCTAGCAGCTTCCTAACTTTTTTCTACACAGTCCTGAAACACATAAAAGATGAGAGTCAAATGTAACTAAGTAACTGCAGGACTAGGACATTAAAAAGAAAATATTGACCAGGAAGGCAGGATCCCTTCTGCAAGCATCTGGTGATCTTACACACATAGTGAGTCTTCAGGCACTCAAGCTGACCCTGTGCCAATAACTTACCTCTAGAAATACTTTTAGATAGTTATGCTAATTCTGAGGCATTGAACAAACCTCAAAGACGAACCAGCTGACCTGTACACCCACTGATTTGGTTAGATTTAACTTTGGAATCTCTGAGTGTCCTTGGTTGTGTGGTGGAACGTGTTCAATTGAGCATTTTTATACCAACACACTGCTCTGGGCTAATGCTTTGCTGGCCCTCTCCAGAAGAACAACTTCTGAATGGCTATTTCTGATTAATTGTTCAATCTAATTTACATTAGAACACTAGTAAATTATTTTTGCATTTAATTTTTTTTTTAAACAAACATTTAACCAGACATTCAGAAAAACTGAGAGTGGAATGCACTAGAACAAGAATTCTAGTTAAAAATATTCTAGGGTATTACTGCTAAAATGTGTTGGTTTTTTCAGGTGGAATTTGAAATAGTGAAATAATTTATTAAAGAGCATGTAATGTCCTAAGTAGAGGTCAGCTACTTTTAAAATGCCCCCCTGCACATTAGAACCCCAAATTTCTGAAATTCTCAGCAGCAATTGCATATAGTGTATTATGGAACTGTACTTATTAGACAAATGGAGGACTCTGTCAAAACTCACTTTCAAGTTCCTTATGTCAGAAGACTGCTCTTCCTGAAGCACTTAAAGCAAATTCTGATGCACTGATAAAAATAAGAAAAAAAGTTTTGCTCTGAAAGTCTTACTCTCCAGATGGTGCAGAAATATGGAACATAACCATAAAACTTCATGTTTACAAAGCACAAGAACAGAAAGATTACAACATTAATGAATTATACTTTTCACCATCCTTTTCTTTTTAAAGTATATTTTTCTGACCCAGCTTCTCATTGCTAATCTACTCTTTTAATTCTGCAGAAATCCATGAAAACACCAAATATTCTTTTTTTCCCCAAATGGCATTACCATATAAATGAGGAATAGCCAGCAGGTATAATCTTGAATTTTAGAGCTACTTTGCTTTTAGAATAAAACACAGTATTATCTGAACAAAGCTCAGCTCAAAGCTGTTACCTGATGTGTCCCAGAGGTAGCTTAACCATGGACAACATCTTCAAATCAACACAACAGGGGAGAACTGACAGTGAAAAAGGTGCAGATCTGAAGTTTCATACTCAGATCCCGACTGGATGATCTTCCCCCTCAAGGGTAAGGCTGTGTCCTGCCCTCCCCATCCGTGCTCAACTTGGAGCAGCACTTTGGGACTGCAATATGACATTATGTCCCCTTGTCCTGCCCTCTCAGCTCTGGACTTTGAGGCTCACCCTGCCTTCTCCACACATGCAGGGTCTTCAGCTCTGCAGTTGTTGCTCCTCTGCTTCAGTCACACCATGGAAAGAATGAATGCAGCCCCTCTGAGCTGCAGATAAGTTATCAGCTGGCAGTACTCACAGCAGCTCATCAACAGGTGAACCCCACACCTGATAAAATGTCATTTCCCTCTGTGCTCTAGAGTGGAAAATTAAGTCCATTTTTACATGCCAAGTTTCTGTGTATATCTGTATCAGAAAACCCATGGGTCACCAGGGCATAACAGAGGAGAAGATGTTTTATTTCTGTTTCCTTCCCAATATATTTCCTTCTGTGGCCTACTTGTTAAGAATATCCTATTACTGTAAAGGGAAGGCCACATTCTTTCACTTTTCCCTCTGGAGTTGTACATTGCTTGGTCCCCTTTTGCAAAATAAGTAAATTATTTATGTCTCAGAGAGAAGATCACTACAGCATATTAAATACAAGATTTACTAGAATTATAACCTGGCACCAGTCTCTTCCATGCTGCTGACTGCCTTGAGTACCCCAGCTGCATTCATTTATATTCTAGAATATGTATAGGAAAGTTAAAAACTCTGCAGCCCAAAAATACTGACTTGGTAAGACTTAGTGCCATTTTCAAAAGGAAACTCTTGTTCTATTCTATGTGTTGATTGAAGGACTGTGTTGATTGAGCTTAAAGTATAGAAAGATTCTGTATGAGGAGATACCTGAATATTGACCTGAAAGGCAGGATTCCTCTGAGCTGGTGTCTAGGTTTCCTTTAGCCAGTAAGCTGAGGCAGGCTCCATTCATCTCATGCTAACACAGCTATCCAAATTAGGTCAGATGAACCACATCCAAAATTAATTGTCCGTTTCACTCCAGTGGCTGCAAAACAAGTGTAACCACTTGGCTGAAGTACAACTATAGTGCAGCCTGCTCAGGTTAGATCAGATGAATTGCATTTAAAGTGTATCTTTTGCTCTATTAAAGCCTGAAAGATCACCAGCCTGGCAGAATTCTGTAATGAAAAACCAAGACTGAAACATGATTGTACTGCTTGCTTAGCAGTATGGACACTGATGCCAGTTCCCTTGGAGAGGGATTTTCACCACCCTGACATACAAGTTGCTTCCTGAAAGTAAGGTCTGTCCTCCCCATCCAAAAAAAAAAAAAAAATTAAATAGTTTATAGGTGACTTTGCCCTGCTGAGCCAACATATGGCTCTTCAGTTAAACACTGCAGGTGTTCCTGCTGGAACCACAATTGTCTCAGCTAACTATGGAATGATAAACAGGGAACACTGGAATAATGAGAAGCAAGTAGAGAAAGGAAAGGTCAGGGAAAATTCCTAGCACTTTTAATATGTGATATTTTAGCTTATGCAAAAACTGAATTCTCCAGAGAATTAGAGTCAGTGACGGCCTGAGGAAACCATTTCCTAGAGCACTTGGTACTAAGAACTTCCTAGGTCCATCTAAGGAACTGGTGGGGCCATGGCATGGTGACCATTGCAAGCCACACAAATGCCACTGTATGGTCTGTACAGGCAAGTGCCCACTCCAAGGGTGCTTGCCCAGGAAGCTGGATATTCTGTAATTTAGTGGCTTGGGTCATACAAGAAACCTGAGGGGGTGTAAATTGAAAACAAGTTTTCTAAACCCCTGCCTTGCACCTCCTTGATGGAGCCACACTTCCTCTGTGAGCTGCTCAGTGTCGTGACTGAAATACCTGCATGTTTGCCTTCTTTGGGAAATCACCCCCACAACAGGTCCAAAACAGCCAAGAGAGTGGAATAAACTTGTATATATACACATGTGATGGATGGCTTGAAACAGCACAAGTCACACTTCAAACCTGCAGTTGCTACTCCAGTCCTTAAATAAAAACTAGAATAGTCTTCAGTCCAGTCATGGGTTAGGATGGCATATTCTAGTTACAGCCTGGTTTCAGTTTTGTGTACGGGCTGATTAATCAGGCTGTACATGGCAGAAACTGATTTTACTTATATGGAAATTCAGTAACACAGTAGCAGCTGTGTTGTACATCAAACAGCATGACTAGAAATGCATCTATGGGCACATGACAGCATGTGACCCTTTAGCTTGCACTATATAAATCAAACCAAGTCATCCAATGATATGACTAGTATTACAATAAGCTACTTACATTTATTTGCTATTTTAAATGCTGTAATAAGGTATTCTGAACAAAAAGCAGTGCACTGCACTCTGAGAGACAGAACAACTGAAAGTCCAGAATTTCAATGAATTCAAGTATTTCCTTATTTCAATTTAAATGTATTTTTTTTTTTTTTTTAAGGTCTTTTACCCCATCAGACACACTGAAACAATACAGAACACTACTGCTGAGTGAAGGCAGAGCAGGTTCCATTCCTGCAGACTCAAATCTGAAGGCAGATGAGGATCTCATATCTCTGTACACATGCATGGTAATGTAGCAACTTACTCCTCTGCTCTTTCCTGCTCTCTGTCCTGCCTATCTGAAATGTTACAGCTGTTCCATTTCCCCCATTTGCAAAAACATTTAGCAATTCTCATACTCCTAATTCATGGATTTGAGAGTAATATCCTCAGTGGGGCCATTTATTTTACT